CCCCGCCGAACCGCCCGCCCTAGCCCGCCCCTACCCGCCCCGCAAACTCGCTCGCTCGGCTTTTGCTCGGCTTCGGCTCGGCCAGGTTGGGTTCGGGTCGGCTGCGTCGCCGCGCCGCGCAGCACGCGCAGCGCCCGGCCGCCCGGCGTCCGCAAGGCTTGCGTGTATGTGAGTAGTAAAATAGTGTGTTGGTGTTAGTGTGTCGCGCCGCGCGCCCGAGCGCGGTCCTACGTGAGACGCGCCGCGCTGACGGCCAGCGCGCGTGCGCTGTTGCTGTTAGTGACACACCGGACACCGTAGTGAGTGGCAGTGACTGACAACAGCAACGACAGTGAACAGGAACAGTGTCGGCCCGCACGCGCGTGCTGTTAGCGATATCCAGTGACGTAGTGAGTGTCAGTCGTGTCAGTGACTGAAAGCAGCAGAGGCAGTGAACAGGCGTGTGCCCGTCTGCTCGCGCGTGTCATTGTCATCAGTAGTGACAGTGAGTGTTGTGTTAGTGATGCCAGTGGCCAGTAATGACTGACAGCAGAATGCGGGACATTGAACAGGAGGACGACCCAGCTCCCTGCGAGCCGGCCGACGCGGGCCCCGCCCCCGCCGCGCTCCTCTGCCAAGACAAACTTGAGACACACGAGGGCTGCGAGGTTAGGCTCGACAATCTGCGCGAACTTGGTGAGGACCGGGATGAGTACGGCGCGCTGTACCACGTCGTCCGCGGGTGCGCCGACAGCGCCTTCCGCGCGCTCGCCGTGCAGCTGTTCGAGGACGAGAAGCACCACCCGGTGGTGCGACGCTCGGTGGTCAACCACGTCGCCAGGCACTGGTCGACCTACGCCCAGCTGACCAGCGGCCACGCCGACGCGGCCGAGTACCGCCGGCACATGGAGCAGGACGGCGCCCGCGGCGGCCTCGTGGAGGTGCGCGCGGCCGGGGAGGCCTTCTACCGCTCCGTGGCCGTCGTCCACGACGGCGTGCTCGAGATGGCCCACCTCATCAGCAACGGCGAGAAGCCGCTCGTGCTGCGCCAGGTCGGGGAGGTGCCCGCGGAGCACTACGACGCCTGCATCACGCTGCCCGCGGCCGGCTGGAAGGGCGGCCAGGTCGACATCGCCAAGCTGGAGGAGTCGCTGTACAGGGTGGGAGCAGTGGCAGCCCCGGATGAGTCCCGCGCCGAACGAGAAGAGGCGGAGTCCACCGAGCCGCCGGATGCCGCCGTGCGGAACAAGAAGAAGGCCGAGAAAATGCGCGACACTCGCCAGAGTATGACAGAGGAGGAGCGCGCGCTGCAGCTGGAGAAGGACAGCGCAAACTACCATGGGGGCCTCCAGGAAGGCCTCCGGGAGTCGCTGAACGCGAGGCACCACGTCGTGGAGGTGCAGCGCTTCGCGAACCAGACGCCGGAGGTGCCCGAGGAGCGACTGCGGAAAGCGCGGGAACGACGTCGGCGTCGAGAGCAGGTCCAGGACGAGGGCTCGCGCGGGGGCACTTCCGACTCGCAGAGCAGCCTGACAGAGTCGCTGGAGATGCCAGAGTACGAGCCGAAAATGGAGCTGAAGGACCCGGAGCAGTGTCCAACGTGGACAGTCTGGCTCGAAGAGGCTAAGTTAGCCGACGCCCCGGAAGAGCCAGAAACGGACCGCTTGGCAGAGGCGTGCGACAAGGGTGCAGGCAGCAGACTCGCCGAGCAGCCCCCTAAGCCCGTCGAATTCGCTGACGAGTACGGCGCCGTGTACAAGTCCGTGCGCAGAGACGGCAACTGCGTCTTCCGCGCATTCGCCTTAAAACTGTTCCACGATGAGAAGCACCACCGGGTGGTGCGCCGCGGCGTGGTCAACCACGTCCTCAACAACTGGTGGTCGACCTACGCCAAGCTGACCCGCTTCGCCAACCAGGACACTTACCGCCGGTTCATGGAGAGGGACGGCTCTCCCGGCGGCGCGGTGGAGGTGCGTGCGGCCGCGGAGGCCTTCTACCACACCGTCGGCGTCGTGCAAGACGGCGTGCTCGAGGTGCTCTCCCTGAGGAACGACGCCGACCCCATCGTCCTGCGCAAGACCGGCGAGGACCCCACGGTGTTCTACGACACATGCGTCATCCTGCCGCCCGGAGGATGGAAGCGCGGCGATGCCGACATGATCGCGCTGGGCTGGCGGATCCTGGTGACGGAGAACAGGCTGCCCGAGCTTTCCGCCGTCGCGGGGCCGTCCAGGTCAGGCCAGGCTGGAGCGGGGAGGCACCCCGACGAAGGGCACGCGGACCAGCTAGTAGGCACTGCGGGCCGGTGCTATGGGCCAGCGCGGCCGCGGGGGAGGCGGGCAAAACAAAAAGCCCTTGAGAAGATGCAGGAGCTGCAGGACATTGATCGGCAGCTCGACGTGCAGCTGTCGAGGCCGGAGGCGCGCGGGATTGTTCCGGAGCATGTGCAGGGAGAGGGGCAGTTGCCGCCATGGCGTGAGGAGGGCGGGCGCCTCCAGGTGCAACCCACCCTGGTGCAACCCACCCTGGTGCAACCCACCCTGATGCAACCCACCCTGGTGCAACCCACCCTGGTGCAACCCACCCTGATGCAACCCACCCTGGTGCAACCCACCCTGGTGCAACCGTGGTCGGTGCAGGGGGAGGACTTGAACAACACGCCAGGTCACATCGAGGTGCCACTAGGTAGCCTGGTGAAACTGGAAATTGAAGCACCGGAGGAGACTGCAGGAGCACTTGACGCCTTCCGGGAGAACGAGGGTTTAGTGATGCTTGATAGTGGACCGGAGGACGCGGAGAGCTGCCAGAACTTGGGAGATGCGACACCAGACGACGACGTGCTGCCGGTGGGCGCCAGCTACACCGACGAGTTCGGCGCCGTGTACAAGGCCGTGACCAAGGACGGCGAGTGCGTCTTCCGCGCCCTCGCGGCGCGGCTGTTTAGCGACGAGAGTCACCACGCGGTGGTGCGGACGGGGGTGTTTAAGCACATCGACCAGAACTGGGAGGACTACGCCCCGCTGACGGGCTTCGCCGAGTTCACGGACTACAAGCAGTTCATGAGCAAAGAGGGCCACCGCGGCGGCCTCGTGGAGGCGCGTGCCGCCGGCGAGGCCTTCTACCGCACCGTGGCCGTCGTGCAGGAAGGCGTGATCGAGCTGGCCGCCCGGCAGGACGACCGCGACCCCATCGTGCTGCGGAGGTCGGGGCAGCACTACGACCCCTGCATCACCGTGCCGCTGGGCGGCTGGCGGGGCGCCCAGGACGACCTCGTCAAGCTCTACTACCGGAAAGAGGCGAAGACCCCGAAACCCGTCGCCGTACCATCTTTAGGAAACCATGGGCGCCAAGGCAATGGAGATCTTGTAGAGCCGTCAGCAGAGACCGCTAGCTCTACCGTCAGCACTACCGTCAGCACTACCGTCAGCACTACCGTCAGCACTACCGTCAGGACTACCGCCAGCACTACCGCCGGCACCGCCGTCGGCGCCACCGCCGGCACCACCACCGGCACCACCGCCGGCACCACCGCCGGTACTACTGGCGCGCACTACACCGACGAGTTTGGAGCCGTGTACAAGGCCGTGCGCAAGGACGCCAACTGCATCTTCCGCGCGCTCGCGGAGCAGGTGTTCGGCGGCGAAAAGCACCACCAGGTGGTGAGAACCGCCGTCCTCAACCACGTCCTCAAGAACTGGGAGCCCACCTACAGAGAGCTGACCGGCTTCGACAGGCAGGACTCGTACCGCAGCTACATGGAGCGTCTCGGCAGCGGTGGCGTCGTGGAGGCGCGCGCGGCCGGGGAGGGCTTCTTCCGCACCGTGGCCATCGTGCAGGACGGCGTGATGGAGGTGGCGACGCAGCAGAAGCGCAACCCCATCGTGTTGCGGAGGATCGCGGCAGAACCCGCGGACCACTACGACGTGTGCATCACCCTGCCCCTGTTCGGCTGGAAGGGCTCCAAGGCGGATCTCCACAAGCTCAACGGCGAAGCCGTCGTGAGCGGGCCGCGGGGCGGCGTGGTGCGGATGCGCCCCGCCACGCGCCCCGAGATGCCCCATGCGCCGCCGATGAACCCTCTAGCGGGAGAAACGTGGACGGCAAGTGCGGCAGGACCCAGCACAGAACTGCTGGGCAAGAACACTTCCGGAAGCCATTCTGACTCTCACGACACTCAGTCTGACGATGAGATCCAGGTCATCGAGGTTAAACCGGTAATCGAACATAAGACGTCGGAGCAGCAAGTGGCCGCGCCCGCACCTCTGGAGGAAATGCGTGACTCGGAAAAGAAGAGTGTGCAAGAGGCGGACAGTGGGACATCTGTCACTTGCGGGGGCGAGGACTGCACCGACGAGTTTGGCGGCTTGTACAAGACCGTGCGCAGGGACGGCAACTGCGTCTTCCGCGCGCTCGCGGTGCAGCTGTTCGAGGACGAGAAGCACCACCCGGTGGTGCGGCGTTCGGTGGTGAACCACGTCGTCAACAAGTGGCCGACCTACGCCCAGCTGACCAGCTTCGCCGGCCCGGACGCGTACCGCGGGCACATGGAGAAGGAAGGTGCCGGCGGCAGCGCCGCGGAGGTGCGCGCGGCCGGGGAGGCCTTCTACCGCACCATCGGCGTCGTGCAGGACGGCGTGCTCGAGGTGGCCGCCCTCTCCAGGACCGACGACAACCCTGTTGTGCTGAGGAGGACCGGGTCGCCACCGGACGAGTTCTACGACGCGTACATCACGCTGCCTCCGTGGGGCTGGAAGGGCGGCCAAGACGACTTTGACAAGCTGGTCGGTCCCAGACCGCGCCCGCCAGGCCAGGCGGCTGCTCCCGTGAAACCGACTCAAAGCCCGACGGACTCGAAGCAGGAGAAGCTCGATGTGAATCCAAATGGCTCAGTTCTACAAGACGAAATGCGGAGTGAACCGAATGCAAAGAAACAGCAGAGACAGAGCTCAAAGGGCAAAGCGAGTAAACCGAGTAAACAAGCGCGACAGCAGGCTGCGTTTGAATCGTCTGAGGACAGTAGTGAGCAGGCTGCGTCCGAGTCGTCGGGGGATTGTTGGCGTTTAGACAACCATCAGTCTGAGAGGTCTGAGACCGAATCGTCCGCAGATAGTGGCGGCGGTAGGTGGACCAGGACCACCAGGACTTCGGCGGAGCGGGCGCTGACGGCCAGGGTGCGCAAGAGGCGGGAGAACGCCAGGATGCAGGCGAGCGTGTACATATGGGGTCGCATCCAGAACGAGACGGCGGACCAGCGACTGGCCCGTGGGGAGAGGGAGGACGCCAGCCAGAGGCGCGCGGCCCAGAAGCAGCGGCAGGTGGCGGCCAGGGGGCGGGCGCGGTCGCCGAAAAAAGAGACTCCAGAAACCGATTGTCCTCAGCGGCGACGGCGGCGGGCGGTCCCCCGCCGTGTCCGCAGCCCGGGGGCGCCCCCAATCCCGAAGCCGGCGCGCCCCGGAGAGACCCCAGAGGAGCGCGAGGCGCGGCTGAAGATAGGCCGCGACTACGCGAGGTACATGAGCCGCAAGCGCGTCGAGGAGAGGGGCCTGGAGGCCGTGAAGGAGGAGCGGCGCGACTACCAGCGGCGCTACAAGGAGCGCAACAGGGAGCGGATAAATGCGCTCAAGCGGCAGAGGTGCGCCAACCGCGACCAGGAGCTGCTCGAGGCGCGCCAGCGCGCCCAGCAGGACGGGTCGCTCGAGGACCGACCGGAGGGGCCGATGACGCAGGAGGAGGCGCTCGCGGAGCTCGAGGCCCAGCTGGAGAAGCGGCGCGCCTACGCGAGGGAGTACCACCGGCGGAACAAGGGGAGGATCACCGAGCGGCGGCGCCAGCTCGCCGCAGAACGCGGACCCAAGAAGCTCACGGGGGAGAGGCTGGAGGCGCGGCGGAAGTACAGGCGCGAGCGCTACCACAGGCAGATGCAAAAGCTCAGGGAGCAACCTCCGGACGTGATCGAGGCCGAGCGGCAGAGGGTGCGCCACCAGAAGCAGGAGTACGCGAGACTCATCCGGCAGAAGATTGAAGAGGGGAGGCGCAACCAGGACATACCGATGGACCTCGTGGAGAGGCTGGAGCGGAGGCGCGCCTACTGCCGCGCCTACTCGCAGGCCAACAAGGACAAAATAGCCGAACGGGTGTGGAGGCGCCGGAACAACATCCCCAAAGGCCAAGAGGAGGGCGAGAACGGCGCGCCCATTAGGAAAAGGAGGCCATGGCGCAGGAGGAAAGCGACAGTTGTGTCCGAGGCCGCGGCGACGTCGGGGGAGGCAGCTATGTCCGAGGCCGCGGCAACGCTCGGGGCGGCTTCAGGGGCGCCGAGCGAGGACAGCCGCGCGGCCGCGGTTACCAGGCGGAGGAGTGGCAGAACGTCTACCACCCACTACTACTTCGACTCCGAGGACGACGCCGACGATGTGTGAGGGGAGACAGAGCAGGCCGGGGGAGGAGCGCGCCGCACACAGTGAGTAGTAGTACCGAGCAAGTCTCGTTGCAGGCAAAGCCCCTGCCGCGAGAGAAGCGTATCAAACTTGCGTGTCGTTGCTTTCAGATCGAGCAGCACTGCTGTGTGAGTCCGGTCCGGCCCTTCCTGAGGATGGTGTACAACCTGATGCCGATGCGACTACTCAGGTAAATTTTTTCGCCGCAAATGCGCATTACTCATACCTAAGTACTTACGCCCAAGGGGGGGGGGGGGATGCCTAGTGCCTACTTCTTCTGCCCGTAAGGGAGCATCCAGAAAGTACGTCTGCCATTTGCCGTTACCAAACTAACTGCCCAGTTTAGCCAATTGAAGCATTGAAGCTGTGAAAGCGCCTGATCGGTAGGCAACATCTTGCCTTCAGTGCACGCGTGCACTGCTGGGTGGCCTACCCTAAATTTCGCAGGCGCCGAGCTCCTGCAATCTGCCGACCGAATCTAAGAAAAGCGGACGTACTTTTTGGGTGATCCCTAAGGCGGGGCCATGGTCATTCCCGGCCATTCCCTGTAAATAGGCAATGGTACAACGGAACTGGAGTGCATTTTTAATTGTTTGTTAACTTTCTGCGTAGTTATTCTGGAACCTGCATCAACCGCTTCCTCGTAAGACTGCATCGACTGCCCACACTGAGGGGTCGGAGGTCGGAGTCAATCGAGTTGATGGTGTGAACCTGGCTGTTGAGGGTGAAAGAAGGGTGAGGTTACTTGAGCTTTGTCTTTAAAGTTGCACTATCTTAACACATACTGTGCGGAACAGTAACATCAGTTTTGTAATTTGTTCCCCAGGGCTGACCAGAGGGTGACGACGAGTTGACATCCGCAAGTATGAATGGAAGAATAGTTCGAGGCGCTCCCCACCTGTTTGAGGTCAAGATGCAGGCCAGCTCAGGGGCGAACTGCACCCCAAGACGACGACCTTGATGTCCTTCCTTGGCGCGACCGCGGTGCGGCCGTCGGTTTTCGTCGGGTGAAGACAAAGTGTCCCCACACTTAAAATTAAGGTCTTTCATATTTTTCTTTAATGACAAGAACCGAGCCACGAAGGCTCAATCGATTA